AAAATTTGCGTATCTCATAAAGTGTACACGTATCTGAATTAAGATTATGTACCTATAAGAAAAAATTTCTGATGCTCAAAAAAATGAGAAGAAATTTATTATTTTTTTGAAATTTTTCGGAGAGGAAATTCATGGAAGAATTGGAGAAAGAAATTAATAGGAAAACACGTGATTTCCTCCTAAATTGATGTGTTTACGTTACTTTCCATATTTAGATACATATAATTAGATGTATCCGAGTAGCATGTATCCGAACTACCTTTTATATTTAGATACATATAATAAGATGTATCTGCATATATAGCATGTATCCGACATACATGTATCTAAACGTGTTCTGTACATGTATCTGAAACCAAAATATGGTAGAAATTGTAATATCGAAAACTCACGGGAAGAGAGGTAATTAGCTCCTAAACTAGTGGGATTTATGTTGTTTGCCCTTTATTTTTTAGATAATGATCTAAAACACTTTATTAGAAAATGTTAGATTATGAGCAAGTTATTATAATGTAAGACGAGACTAATATTTTATCTCTAAGGTTAAAAAATATAATGAGCAAATATTTGATTTGAGTCTAACGTAATTTATAAAGGTAATTTTTTCATACAACATTAGATGAGATTTTAGTAGAGTTTTAGAAAAGCATACGCAGGGTAGATTTGGAGTGGCTGACTTATCGTTTTAATGTCATCTTTAAGATAACGAAGATGTGTGAAGAACAAAGGTAGAGTAGGATGATTTTGTTGTACAAGAACAATGATGATATTCAAAATTGCAACAATTGTAGGGAAATAAAAATGCTAAGTTATACTATGAAAGTGTGGGGTGGGAGTGGGGGAGATGAGGGTAAGGATAGGTGTGTTAATTCTTGAGAATCAGTTTGGATTCTTATCGAGGTCAATCTACAACGTTAGAAGCCATCCACTTTGCGCGGTGACTCGTAGAGCAATATAAGGAGAGAAAGAGAGATTTGCATATGGTATTCATTAACCTTAGAGAAGGCTTACAATAAAGTTCAGAGAGAGATTCTATGAAGATGCTAGGAGGTTGGAGGTATAGATATGACTTACACGTGGACAGGCAATGACATATATGATTAAGTCAAAACTAGTGATGGGAACAATGGAAAGAGACTCAAAGCACTTCTAGTCATGATGGGGATGCACCATGAATCGACTCATACTCCATTTCTTTTCACAATGATTATAGATGAACTCTGAATTCTTGTGTGATAGAAAGGTACTGTAATAAATTAAAAGGTAAGTTCTAAATAATGGTGACTAGACTGACTATGTTATATGGGGCATAGCATTGACCATTCAAGAACTCTCATGTTCAGAAGATGAAAGTCATGGTTATGAGGATGTTGAGGTAATATGTGGGCATACTATGAGAAATAAGATTAGGAATGAAGATATTCCAGACAAGGTAGGAGTGACCTCCATGGTGGACAAAATGAGAAAATCGAGATTGAGATAGTTTGCGTAACATACCAAAAATTTCTAAGCTAAAGCCCGAACCATTCTTTAATTGCATGTAAAATTGTATCTTGTGATTCTTAAATCGCTCATATGTGTAAAGTTCAATTCTTTAGAGTTCGAATGGATTTGGATATGATTTAAGGTCACAAGAACCCTCTAACACAAAGTTGAGTTGAAAGCTTCATTACCGATTAAGTTTTGACATAAGATTCTACTTAGATCAACTTAAAACAATCATATCTCCTAGCACATAATGAAGTAGGTGGCTGATAGAATAACGCTATCAAAGACACTTAATCCAGTTCTAAGAGTCAACGATCGTTAGTCAGTATATAACCCAACCAATTGGGTTGGGATCGTTCCCACAGGGAGTGATTTGAGAATCAAGAGTCAAGCACAAATATGTTCAAGTCAATCATAGGTAAAAACATTTACGAATAAAAGAATATTTTAAATTTAGGGTGACACAAGTGTCAAATAACAGAGGGGTTTTGATTGTAATTATCAACTGCAACAGCAAATAACACAAAAATAACAAGTAAGGAGATGGGTTCTTGGGATGTGATCGGATTATTGGGTAATTGCAATTGATAGTAAATAGCTATAAATTAGTGACTAAGTTAGACTTTAGTGGGGATAAATTTTCTCTCGAACAATTTACCCTGAATCAAATTGGTTTCTCTCGAACACCAATAAGCAGCAATTAAGCACAGCCTTCACTTTAGTCCATTCACTCTCTCGAGCTGAATGTGTGGAAAAGGATTTAGGGTTCACTCTCTCAAGTTGAACCTATGACAACTCAATACCCACAGACCATCAAATCAGTAATTTTGGTTTTAAAACCTCTCTCTCGAGCAAGCCAAAAACACGAAGATAGAGTTACATTTGCAACTACAACCCTTCAGATTAAGCCATAATTACTGAATGAAATCACTTTTAAACAGCATTTACACTATCAAATAACAATACCCAGCAATTAAATCAACCCATAATCACATAATCACACCCCAAGAATTGGGGATTTAGATAGACATCATAAAAAGATAGAAATTGTTACCAATTTGTGTTTCCATCAACTGGGTACGGTTAATTTCATCTTTACAAAAGTCTAAGATGAAGAATCTTCAATACCCACTTCCAATTTCTCAGAAATGGAAATCTTCAAAGCTAAGGAAAATACTGTCTCCCAACTCAGAGTTCTAACTCAAAATTACTCTCATAAAAATAAAAGATAGAAACAAGATTGATAGATAAAAATGATGATAATGCTAAACTAAATATTCAATAGTGTATTTATAGTGGCCAAAAATGTGTTGTGAAGGACCATTCGGCGCAATAAGTCGGGATCGCCGATCCACTCAACGATCCGCCCTTTGGTCAATTTCATCGCCTTTTTGCTTTGGCCTTCAGCAACTTCAAGCTCTGTAACTTTGGGCGATATGGCACTGCATCGCGGAACCGTTCGGCGACTCGCCGACAGCTCCTTTCTATCGCCGACTTGATTTTCTCCTTCAAGGCTTGGCACACTAGAACATTAGGTGAGACCATGGCCATTCGGCGACTCGCCCAATGGTTTAGGCGATCCTCAGTCCTTCTTTTCTTCGTTATTTCAGCTACCTTGTTCCTTTTTGCTCATTAGTGTCCATCATTTGTCCCTCAATCCAAATACCTGAAAATCAAGGATTTACATCAGTTATTGACACAAAATATGCATTTGAAGACATTAAATCTATTAAAATAAAGCCCTAAATGTGTCACGACCCGAGTCTACACCCTAGACGTGGGTGGCACTCAAGAACCATTGTTGGTCCCCAAGCGAACCTTCATCCTGGCTGACTACAAGCGGAAGACTAACTCAAGCATACAAAGTTAAAAAACTGAATAAACTTCATGAAACTGAAATACAAAGCTTTAACTCAAATGAAAAACTCTCAATAAAATAATATATTCAACTCACAATAAAATAGGCAACTTAAGTCTTTAAAACATTTAATAAAATAAATGAATAATACATACTTCTCAACTATACTGATTATCTATGAAGCCTCTAACTGATAAAGATGGAAGTCGGGACAAGACCCACAACATCCTAACTAAACTGAAAAGTAAATGAAATCCTCTGGAAACAAGGAGGCTCACCATAACTAACTCGAACTCCTGGATGTATCAACGAATCTCCTGTTGATGATCCTGAATACCTGTGTCTGCATCATGAGAAAATGCAGGCCAAATGACTCAGTACGTGGAATGTACGAGCATGCAAGGAGAATTCTAAAACATAAACATAAGCTTGAATCTTGATAAAAAAAGAACATACTTACCTTTTCTCAACTTACTCAACCCAAGAATAAGATACTCAACTCAAAGATTAGATACTCGACTTCAAAGATATGATACTCGACTTGAAATACTCAACTCATGAATACTTAACTGAATTCATTTCAATATAAAGCAATTTAAAACAAGTGCAATATAAAGAAAAAGGAAAATTGTTTAAAACATGATGAAAATAATATATTCAACTCACAATAAAATAGGCAACTTAAGTCTTTAAAACATTTAATAAAATAAATGAATAATACATACTTCTCAACTATACTGATTATCTATGAAGCCTCTAACTGATAAAGATGGAAGTCGGGACAAGACCCACAACATCCTAACTAAACTGAAAAGTAAATGAAATCCTCTGGAAACAAGGAGGCTCACCATAACTAACTCGAACTCCTGGATGTATCAACGAATCTCCTGTTGATGATCCTGAATACCTGTGTCTGCATCATGAGAAAATGCAGGCCAAATG